CTCTCTCTCTCTCTCTCTCTCTCTCTCTCTCTCTCTCCCTCTGATTCAAAGTGAGACATTTAATCTTGGCGTGAAGAACACACATCCACGACGATGACTACAACAGCAGAAACAGCAGCAGCAAAGTTAATATAATTTTAGTTTATTTACTTTTATTTGCAAACAGCGATGCAGTCAGTGTTGGGTGTTGTGTGTTGGAAAAGGCCTTGTTTGAATGTTTGAATGTTGCCAAATGACGTTGGCTTCGTTTTGAGTGTTTGACTGCAACTGCAACTGCAAAGCGAAGAAATGAAAGAAGAAAAGAAAAGCTGAGCAATGGGCAGCAGCAGCAATTGTCGGCAGCAGTCAGTCGTACTTTTGCTTCTTCTTTTTTTCCTTTTTTGCCCATATTCGCCTCTTTCCCTCCCTCTTTCCCTCTCACACACACCTACGTGACCAGAAAAATTAGCAAATTAGTATTCATGCGCTTGCCGCCGACGTTTTCGTCGCCCCGCTCTGCCTGCTTTGCTGCCGAGCCTTCTATCATTTTGTTTTAAAGAAAAAGGAAAGCAGAAGAAGATGGTGAAGAAGATGGTGAAGCAAAACTGCTGCAGCAGTTTGTGCTCACTTCCTTCAGTCACAGACGCAGGCAGGCAGACTCAGACGGACGCAGACACACTTAATCGAGTCAATTTGAAGCAACGGCTCTATTTATTATAACGACACGACACATCTCTCACTTTCACTTTCACTTTCACTTTCACTCTCGATGTGCAACTCTGTACTTTCGATGTACTGAACAACTGTGGCAACTGTTATATTTCGCTTATTTCAACATTTTTCGCCTTTTGATATTATTATTTAAAAATCTCTCAGTATCTGTTTCTCCGATGCCGTTAGTGCTGTTGGTGGGTGCTGTTTTAGCTTGTTACTTTCCTTTGGTGTGTGTGTGTAGTGTAGTGACCACTTAAGTCTACTTTTGCTGCAGTGCACCAGAGTCCCAGTGGGACTCTTCACGAGTCAGTCGTCGGTGTAAGTGTGTGTGTGTGTGTGTGTGCTGGTCAGCATTGACATTGGTGCAATTTTAGGCAAAGCTGTCATTGATTATCTATTTTTGGAAAGACTGTGGTTGACTGTAAACTAACAAAAAAAAATTGTCTGCAGTTATTTCTGCAAAACCAAAAAAAGAGGGCAGCGACATCAGCAATCAAAGATCAGCGAATGATTAAAAACTACTATTCTGCTATTTTTTTGTTCTCCCTCATCCAATCTCTCATCAGCAGCAGCTAATTGCCTGCTAACGTTAGTATTTTTTTGGGTGCTGGTTGGAATTATTCTTTGCAGCAGCCCCATCAGCAGCAGCACTGTCACCTCGGCAATCATCGCCAATTAGTTAGCAGGCAAGGAGGGCGAATTTGCTCACAATTTCATTTACTCACCAGAACGTGCTGCCGATAAAGTCTGACTCTGTGTGTTTGTTTCTCTCCGTGTGTGTGTGTGTGCCAAAGCACATTTGAGGCCCTGGGACGCGTGACCAACAGCAGAGCTACCAAGGCCAAGAGTGGCAGTTTGCACAGTTTGAACGCGAGATGACGAGAGAAGAACTTGGGGAAAGTGAGTGAGTGAGTGAGTGAGTGAGTGAGTTCGCTGAAGCAGCAGTAATTGTTTGAGCCAATTACCGCTCGCTTGGCTGTAATTTCACTTCTCCTTCTTCTTATTTTACTTTTCCTTCATGGGTTCTTCCTCTGGTTTGCCCGTCATCGTCGTCGTCCTCGGAATCGGAATCGGCGCCGATCCTGATGATCACCAGCAAACGGCTGACTGATCGGACGGAGCGAGCATTTAATTTAGCAGCGCTTTTGTCGTCCTAGTAGTCGTCGTCGTCGTCGTTGTTGGAGCAAATCAAGTGAGAAATCACCTAATCAGCATAGACGGACGCAAAGAATTGGAAAAGAGGGAGAGAGAAAGGCGATGATGCGCGCAATGGCCGTTCTCTGACCACTGCTGCTGCTGCTGCTGAATTCATTCAGCAACGATTCAGAAACAATGAAGCAAAGAGGACTAATGCGACCACTTAGCATTGCCGCTTGGCATGCTTCAGTGGTGGTGGTGGTGGTGGTGAATACCGGCGAGAATTCGAGCCCCCCACCGAGTAAATTTGATGATAATTGACACATCTCTTTTTTCTCCTCCTTTTCAGCAGCATCAGCAGCATCAGCACCTACCCTCAACAGTCATCAACTGACATTGAAGATTTGGATTTTCCTGCTCATATTTCTTCTTGGAAGCAGAGACCGCATCAGTTCATTGACCATCACCGGCAGCAACACCTGCGAGCCATGCCTCTGTCAAAATTACACTCGCGAGTACGTGGACGTCACCTGCGTCAACGTCCCACTGACGGCCATTCCCCGACTTTGGGACCCGGGCACGGGCAAGTTCTGGCAGGCCAGCAGTTCACCACATCAAAATCCTTCCTCCCATCCTCAGCCTCCTCCTCTTCCTCATCACCAGCAAAACCTCTACCGAATTCGGCTGATCGGCGTCGAGCTGCTGACCACCCTGGCCGCGGACAGTTTTGAAGGACTAGGCAGTTTATCTAGCCTAACCGTCTCCAAGAGTCGCCTGACGCACCTCAATGAGAGCCTCTTCAGCGGGTCGCCCCTTCGAGGGACGCTCTCCACGGTGGACCTCTCCTATGGCGCCCTCGGTGAGGTGCCCACTGAGGCACTTCGGCCGCTGCAGCAGCTGCAGTGGCTCAGCCTGAGAGGCAACCAAATTGAGACTGTCAGAGGTAAGTAAAGTGAAAGGGGCAAAGTAGTGAAAAGGGGTTGATGAGTCAGAAGAAGAAGAAGAAGAGGATTCATTGCTGAAATTGATTAAACACACTGGACACAGCAAAGCAAAGTCCGCTCTCCAGTTCCATTTCAATTATCTCCACTCTCAATCTCTTTCTCCCAATTTCCACTTCAGATTTCTCTCGATTTAATCTATTTCTAATTGAATTCTCCCATTTCTCNTGGACAGCAAAGCAGTCCGCTCTCCATTTCCATTTCAATTATCTCCACTCTCAATCTCTTTCTCCCAATTTCCACTTCAGATTTCTCTCGATTTAATCTATTTCTAATTGAATTCTCCCATTTCTCTATTCCAATCCTTTCAATCCTTTCATTTTATTCTCATTCTATTCCCAGGCAAAGACTTTGCCCAGCTGGCCAGCCGGGCCACCCTGCGGACGCTGCTCCTCAGCGAGAACCTCCTCAGCAGCCTGGAGGAGCGCACCTTTGAGCCGCTGACCGCCCTCGAGTCGCTGGAGATTGACTTCAGTGCGCTGGAGCGGGTGGAGGGGCCGGCCGTCTTTCCGCCCTCCCTTCTCTCACTCTCACTGGCAAATGGCCTTCTGCGAAAGGTGCCCGTGGAGGCGCTGGCCCGACTGCCCCGACTGCAGTCCCTTTCACTGCGCGGCAATCTAATTAACCACTTATCGCCGCTTAAGCTGGGGGCAAACACTGATCCAACTGATCCGGCTGAAAGTGGACAGTCCAAATCAGCAGCAGCATCATCAGCATCAGCATCATCAGCAGCATCATCATCACCTCCCTCACCTCGCTCAATCGATGTGATTGATCTGAGCCACAACTTGATTGCCCATCTACCCGAGGACCTCTTCTCTGCTGCTGGCTCAACTTCTACTTCTACTTCTGCTGCTGCTGCTCCAAACAGACGAGCTGAGGCGAGGCGATTTAGCGGCGGCAACGGCTTTTCCAATTACACTACCCCATCTTCAAAAATGCTGGTCAGCAAAAGTTCTGCTGAGAATAAATCCTTACCCAACCTTGAGCCGACCATGGAGATTCGAAGCCTCCATCTGGACTTTAACTTCATCACCGCCCTGCCGCCGGCCCTTTTCAGCTCGGTTCGCATTGAGAAGCTGACGCTGAGCAGCAATCGAATCGCCGAGCTGCCGGAGACGCTCTTCGCCTGGCCTAGTCCGCTGGCCGCCAGTTTAGCGGTTCTAGATCTGAATTACAACCTTCTGGAAGGGCTGTCAGCCCTACGTCCTCTCACAGCCCTTCGCCAGCTGACTCTAAAAAACAATCGCATTCGGGAGATTGCCCAGCCGGACTTGGTTTTTGAGGGCTGCTCCACCACGCTAGAACTCCTCGACCTGTCGCAAAATCTCCTCGAGGCAATGCCAGTCTTCAACAGTTTGCAGTCCCTGGTAAAGGTGAACCTTCACCAGAACCTCATTCGCCGGCTGGCAGCGGCCGATTTTGAAGGCGGCGGCTGGTGCGCCCGACTTCGCTCGCTGAGCCTCTCCAAAAACAGTCTCACCTCGGTGGAGGCGGACACCTTCCGGAGCTGCAGCTCGCTGACTGAGCTTCGACTGGGCGGAAACCGCCTCCTGCAGCTCGACTCAAGGACGGTGGACGGCCTGGCCGCCGCCCTCGGAAGTTCACTTCGCCTGCTGGACTTCAGCTCATTAGGCTCTCTGGAGCGGTGGATCAGCGAGGACGAGGAGGAGGACCAAGCCTCTTTGCAGCAGTTTCCCCACGTAAAGTGGCTCCAGCTTGATCTGAACGCCCTGAAGCGCCTTCCAAAGGCGTTAGGACGTCGTCTGCCATCATTGCGGCACCTAGATCTGCAGAACAACGCCATCAGCGGCGAGCTGGGCGGTGGTGAACTGCTTCGCCAGTTCTCCAATCTGACCACGCTGATTCTCAGCCAGAATCGGCTGACCACCCTGAAGCGGGGCGCCTTTGCCGGCCTGAGTCGCCTGGAGAGTGTCGCCCTCTACTACAATCGCATTGAGCGCATTGAGCAGGGGGCCTTCAGCGGTCTGCCACGCCTACACTCCCTTGTGCTGACGGCTAATCAGCTGGCCAGCGTTGAGGTGGGCGCTTTTCAGCTCTCCACTTTGGCGACTTCAACTTCAGCGGGTCAATCAGCAGCAGCAGCAGCCGTCACTGTAATGCTCGACCAGAATCGACTGCAGTGTCTGGCGGCAAACAGTTTCTCGCTGCTGATTGAGACGACGACGACGGAGAAGACCAGCAATTACAGTTTGAACGCTGCAGAGTTTCCCCGAGTCAACAGAACAAGTACTCTGAACATCAACAACAACAACAGCATGCTGCGACTCTATTTGAATGTCTCGCATAATCAAATAAAAACTTTTTCGCCCGACTGTTCGCCCTCGTCGGGGACGGCTGACTCTGAAAAGGTAGAAGAGGAAAAAGAAGAAGAAGAAGAGGAAGGCTCTTCCTTCACTCCGAACAAGTTGGCCAATCAAGCTGGACAAACATTGAAGCAGTCTCAGTCTTCTTCACAATCGTGGAGACTGCCACTGCCGATACGTGTCCTCGACGTGTCTGCGAACCGCCTCGCCGGCCANATAAAAACTTTTTCGCCCGACTGTTCGCCCTCGTCGGGGACGGCTGACTCTGAAAAGGTAGAAGAGGAAAAAGAAGAAGAAGAAGAGGAAGGCTCTTCCTTCACTCCGAACAAGTTGGCCAATCAAGCTGGACAAACATTGAAGCAGTCTCAGTCTTCTTCACAATCGTGGAGACTGCCACTGCCGATACGTGTCCTCGACGTGTCTGCGAACCGCCTCGCCGGCCAGCTCAGCCACTACTTTCTAACCGTTTTCTGCTCCTCGGCCGCCAGTCTGATCGCCAATCAAAACCAACTCCGGCGACTGCCAGCCCGACTTCCGGCCAGCCTGCAGACGCTATCGCTCAACCACAACCAAATTATGGGAGTGGCAGAAGAGGAGGAAAAGGGAAAAGAAGAACAAGTTGAAAAGTTGTCTACCAGTAGTCGACTGCACACGCTCTCACTGCGCCACAACGCCNAGCTCAGCCACTACTTTCTAACCGTTTTCTGCTCCTCGGCCGCCAGTCTGATCGCCAATCAAAACCAACTCCGGCGACTGCCAGCCCGACTTCCGGCCAGCCTGCAGACGCTATCGCTCAACCACAACCAAATTATGGGAGTGGCAGAAGAGGAGGAAAAGGGAAAAGAAGAACAAGTTGAAAAGTTGTCTACCAGTAGTCGACTGCACACGCTCTCACTGCGCCACAACGCCATCGCCGACCTAACGAGCTTTCGCGCCTTCTTCGCCCGACTTCCGGCGCTGAAGGCGCTCGACCTGACGGGAAATCGGCTGGAGGCGATTCCAGGCCGGCGCTTTTTTGCCGGCACCAGTCTGGTGAAGCTAATTCTCGCCGATAACCGGTTGACACTGGAGGACGATGGGGATAATGATATGGCTGAGGACGACTCCTGCTTTGGCCTCTCCGCCTCTCTGAAGGTCCTCGACCTGGGCGGCAACCGCCTGAGCGCCCTCTCTCAGCGGCTGCTCGCCTGTTCGGCGCTGGTGGAGCTGCTGGCCAGCGGCAATCGCATTGCCTCCTACCGAACGGCCAGCCCATTGGCCCGGGCGCTGCCACTTCTTCAGCGGCTAGATCTGCAGGCTCAGCAGCAGCAGCAAAGAGATCAAGGTTCATCCACCTCCTTAAGCCTGGCCTTTCTCGCCAACCACTCTTCCCTCTCCTCGCTCAATCTAAACCACCTCGCCATTGGCGGTGGACTTTTTGGTGGTGGTGGTGGTGGTGGTGGTGATTCAGGAGATGGTGGCGGTGACTCTCATCATAGTCATAGTCATAATCATAATCATAATCACCAGCAGGCGCAAATCCTCGCAGTGCCCTTCCTCCACCGGCTGGAGCTGGCCGGAAACGGTCTGCCGACGATTGGCAGCCGAACGTTGTCCCGCTGTCGAAACATTCGCCACCTCAATCTGGCGGCGAATCGGCTGCAGGAGGTGCCGAAGCACGTCTGGAAGTACCTAACTAGATTGAGATATGTAAGTGCTTTACAGAAAATTTTTTTTTCATAGAAGTAACATCATTTCTAACACCTTTTTTCTTCTAGCTCGACCTGCGCGACAACCCCATCGACATACTCGATTCAAGCAGCTTCGCCGGCCTCAAGTACCTCCAACACCTGTACATCAGCGGCCTGAAGCTGCAGTACATCGACTCACGCCTGTTCCTCTACCAAAGTCAGCTGAGCAGCCTGAAGATTAGCACCTACCCGGCGATGCGCTCCTTCCGCCTGCAGGACATTCTCGCCCGCTCGGACGCCCTGAAGACGATTGAGATTGAAGTTCGTGAGGCGCTCCTTTCCCATCAGATTCAGTGGGCATTTGGTGGAAAGCTGCGGGAGCTGGTCATTACCGGGCAGTCGCTGACGCACATTCTTCCTGATGCATTTCAAGGTGAAGAATTTTTAAGGGTGAAGGTTTTTATCTAAAAAAAGTTTTTTTCCCACTAGGTCTGGACAACGCCAACGACCTGACGCTGCGCATCACCAACACCAGCATCCGCCAGCTGCCCGACGGCCTGCTGAAGTACCTCGCCGACATTCGCTACATTAGCATCGACCTGCGGCGGAATCAACTGGAGACCGTCAGCCCGGGCGTCTTCTTCGGTAGTGGGGTGGCTGACGGAAACGATGATGGTGATGATGATGATCATGTGAGGACGTGGCAGTCGAGGCAGTTGCTAGGTAAGGGATTTTGAGATAAAGAGAAAAAACATTTTTGTAATAACTACTACTACTACTTTTTTTGCAGGTGGAATCGTTCTGGAGGGGAACCCGCTGCGCTGCGACTGCAACCTCCTCTGGATCAGCCGGTGGATGAAGGCGCTCTTCGCGGAGATGAAGAGCGTCAACATCGAGGCGGCCATCCTCGTCAAGGCCTCACTGGCCCACAGTCGCTGTCTGCCCTCGGCGGCGGCGGCGGCGGTGGGAAAGGGTTCGAGCAAGGCTTCGAGCAAAGCGAAAAGCAGAGAGAAGATTGCCATCACGCAGCTGACGGAGGAGCACGTCGACGGCCACTGTGAGCAGGGAGCAGGAGGCAACCGAAAGGACCACCGCTCAGCTGGTCGGTACTTTACCAGCTCTGCCGCCGCCGCCGGCCATGCACGTACTTCATCTTGGCTACAACTGAACTCGGCAAACACTAGCCTGCTCATTAGTCTGCTGGTGACAGTGCTGCTGCTGCTGCTGCTGTTCTAGGGTGCTGGTTTCCGATGATCACTGGCTGATCTCACTCTGGTTGACTCAATCAGCACAGCGGACAAATTGCCCACTAATGTGTACACGGCCATTGTTGTACGCCGATGTTCCAAATCTGTCCCGCGGACATTTTCTGCTTCTCTGCTGGGCGAGGCTTTCCAAATGAGAAGAAACAACTTTACTGAGCAAATTTTACTCTACTTTAGAGTGATCTGTATTGCTACTGTTTCTGCTGCTGATAAAGTTGATGATCAGCTAATGTTTTTGTACAGTTTTGAAATGGTAAATAAAAAACGTATTCGAATGTAATTTTGTTTGTGATTACGAGAAATTTTAGAACTTTCAAGATCAATTATCTCAGAATTTCGATGATCAAATTAAAAATGGTTGGCACCATTGGATTCTCTTACTCGAATTATTAAAGGTCAATTAAAACATCTTAGGAATATTAAAAATCGTTTTGAATTGTAGACCTGTGCTTATGCTCACTTCATGCGATTATCATCAGTACCGAAGCTGAAAGTGAAAGGGCAGTGCATTGAGCAGTGGCACTCTTCTGAACACGTGGGAGGGGAAAAGAGCACGTGCTCAATCAGGCACACACATCACTTCCTCGCATTGGCTCACATTGCGTCAGCAGCAGCAGATTCACTTGATCTTCTCCAGCTCTCTCTTTCAGTCTCCGACGACATCTGAAGACGATGCCTCCTCGACGCCCCCCTACAGATTTGGATTTGATCAGTGTCTTCAAAATGTTGACACCCAATGAGCAGCTGGTGGCGAGCAAGATGAGCCCTCGCTGTGCCGTTCTGGTGAGAGCGGCCAACCGCAGAGTGAAAACACTGGTCATCACCAGTCGAGATGTTATCAATGGAATTCGTCTCCCCGTTCTTAAGTTCATAATCAACTCTTTCTCTCTCGCCTCTGAGCTGACCATTCATGAGTTGATTGTCATTCCTGAGAAGACATTCTCCGACTACCCGATGACCACTCGTTTCAGCATGTGGAATATCCTGCGATTAGACCAACTACGACTGATCGACACTGCCACCATCGAGCAGATTGTCACCATCTTTTCTGCCGTCACCGATCTGAAGTTCATGACCATCGACAGCAAGCACATTAACACTCTGGTGTCCCTCCTGCAGCATCCCAACTGGAAGTGCCAACTGACCAACTTGATGGTGGACGGAACACATGGAACGGACAGTCGACAGAATCATGAGCTGATCACCGCCATCAACAGTCTGACTGCTCTGCAGCTGCTGGCTTTTGAATGGGATAATGACACCGATCTTTCCGACATGTCCATACTCGCCCAGCTGAAGACAGTGGTCTTCAAATCAGGCCATTTGAGCGTCTTCCTACGCTCCCTCGAGCGAAATGCCGCTGCCAATGCCGACCTTAAGGTGCATCTGCTCTCTTGCACCGGCGATACCAATGCTCTGCTCACCCTCAGTCAGCCACTGCGCAGTCGAATTGTTTGCTTCAGAATGAACCCACTCGACTACGCCTATGACCAGGTGTCCCTCATCTGCAGTCAGTTCCGCTCTCTCACTTTACTGGAAATCAAAGGCATTAAATCAACCAAAGTTGAACAGCTCTTCTCCGATCTCTCTCAGCTTCATCAGTTGATCCACTTGGAGTTTGAGGTAGACTTCAGTGATGTGAAGGACGAGTCACCCCCACAAGCACGTCCACTGGCACAACTAAACTCCTTGCTAGCTCTGGATCTGCACTTGCACATCACCTCTCACTCTCAGATTGAGTGGTTGAATCTGCCGTGGACAATGCCCAACCTGAAGACCATCTACACTCGCAAGTTCGATTGTGATAGCTGCAAAGTTGGTTTTCCGACTCACAGTTACCCGCCCCTCGGCTTATCACCTTCAACTACTGCCTGTGTCAGTGCATCCCTCTTCAAGCTTCATCCTCGTGTCGATTTGAAGCGAATCATCTTGCTCTCAGGTTTTAAGCTCATTTCTGCTGAAGAACTGCTGCTCCATAGTCAGTGAGCCAGTCACCCACTGCCAGCCAGCGTTGATAAACATGCCTTAATGGTTGTATAACAAAAATTACCGGTCAGAAAGCAAAATTTTGTCAGCCTTGTATCTTATCTTTATTTTTTAAATACAACAAGTGTTTTGTTTCTAAATCTAGTTTTAAAGTTTTCAATACTACTTTTACTACACCAAAACTTATCAAAACTAATTACTAATTAACTAATTAACTATTTTAGACAGAGATTGTACATCAAGTCTTTAGTTTTCATTTAAGGCAACTTTGAGCTCTTTGCGACGTTCCAGGCCTAAGAAACTACGGTTTTCTACGAAAAGCTCCTCAAGTCCATTTGCTTGGTGATGACATCTCACAGCGGGAGCGTAAGATGATGTCGCCTAAGAAGGGAAAGAGGCGGTGATGATTACACTAGACATTACGCCCACTTTCTCCCCCTCTCTTTTGTACAACTGCCTCTTTAATAAACAAAAAACCGTTTATTTGTATCTTTACCTTTGCTTTTGCTTACTCTCCTGAACGAGGAGCGGTATCGGGCGATTCTCGGGTACTTTGAAACTTAAACTCGGGTTGAATCTCCCTACTTTAGTGCGGGTTGGTCCTGTTCTTTTGCCAAGTTCATCTGACACACACTAGATGGCGCCAGGGGCTCCACAAACTTTATTTTCCTGGTTTTCTGAACACGAAAAAAATAAAATTTACGGGCGATTTTTTTACGCCACTTACAAGATGGCGATGATGGTGGCGTTCCTAGCGGACAATATCGAAAACCTTATTAATTTTTAATTAACTTTAAAATTCAATTTGACCATGTTCACGTGGCCCTAGAGCAAAAACGCTTTCAGATTTGAAATTCTCTCGTCGAGTACTTTGAGAATCTGCAATATTTTTTTTGGTAAAATTGGCTAAATCTGTAAGGTTATAGCCTTGAAGATTTTGAAACATTCACTAAAAATTTTTATTGCAGATTCTGAAAGTAATAATTGAAAGGATTCCAAATCTGAAAGAGTTTTTGCTTTAAGAACACGGGAACATGGTCAAATTGAATTTTAAAGTTAATTAAAAATTAATAACGTTTTCGATGTTGTCCGCAACGAAATGTGAGGCTCCACCAGTGCAGCCAGAAAACCGTGCAAAATCGCCAAAAATCAATCTGCGCTGGTGGCGCCTCACATTTTTCAGCGGCCAACACCAGAAACTATCCACTTTTAATGATCAATTCTGTCCTATTTTTAAATGGGCGTTTCTAAGTCCTAAAATGTTGTAAAGAGCTCAAAGTTGCTTTCATTGAAAGCTAAAGACTTGGTGCACAATCTGTATGTTAAATAAGTTAGTTTTAACAAATGTTTTATTTTAAAATCAAGTTTTAAAGTTTTCAATGCAACTTTTACTACACCAAAACTTATCAAAACTATTTTATTTTAGACAGAGATTGTGCACCAAGTCTTTAGCTTTCATTTAAAGCAACTTTGAGCTCTTTGCGATTTTTCAGGACTAAGAAACGCACATTTGAAAAATGGACAGAATTGATCATTAAAAGTGAATAGTTTCTGATGTTGGCCGCTAGGAACGCCACCGTCATCGCCATCTTGTAAGTGGCGTCAAAAAATCGCCCGTGAATTTTATTTTTCTCGTGTTCAGAAAACCAGGAAAATAAAGTTAGTGGAACCCCTGGCGCCATCTTTTCAGCTTTGTATCTTATCTTTATTATTTTTAAATACAACAGTTTATTCACAAGCTGGTGATTTTTGTGCTTTTGGTCGGGGTTTTTCTTTCAACCCATCTTACCAAACACAAAAGTTACCTCGATATTTACACAAGTGTACAAGGGTTGTCAAATTTTTCTATTTGATAATGTTGGTTTGTTTGCTTGGTGACTTTGAAGTAAGTTGGTGTGCCACGAAAAAAATTCAACAGTAGGCAGGTGGGAAGGATGTGCGTGTGCTGTACAGAGTAAAATGAAAAATAGCTATTTACAAGACTTGAGATGCAGAGAGTAAGACTGATTGGGTGATTGCTTTTTGGAGTCCACAAGGTTTGGCACAAACTCAGCGAAAAAGGGGAAAAGAGAAAACGATGGTCAACATCTAAAACAGAACTTGATGATGATGATGATGATGATGGGCAAAAGGAGTTTGTACATGAAAAGGAAACGGTTTCTTGCCTAAACGGTAGTCTCATTGCGGCGCTGAACCGTGAGCGGCTGCAACTCCCTCTGCAACCGGTCCACCTCGTTGTAGTACTCATGGTCGTCGGAGAGCTCCTCCGGATCGTCGCTGGAGCTGAACTTGCGCAAAATTGGCTGCTGCTGCTGCTGCTGTCCTTGGTTTGCCCCAAAAGACTGGTTCAGCGGCTGACCACTACCTCCTCCTCCACTGTTCACTGAAATGTTGAAGTTTCCAGCAGGGTGTTGTTGTTGCTGTGTTGCCACCATAAACTGTCCACCATTTTGCTGGTGGTGCTGCTGGAGCAACCTCGCCGNACCACTACCTCCTCCTCCACTGTTCACTGAAATGTTGAAGTTTCCAGCAGGGTGTTGTTGTTGCTGTGTTGCCACCATAAACTGTCCACCATTTTGCTGGTGGTGCTGCTGGAGCAACCTCGCCGAGGGCGCAAAGGAGCCGTGGTAGGAGTGAATGGCCGAGTTGGAGGTCGTCGAGGAGGAGGTCGAGGAGAGCGGCTTCCGCCGGTGGTGATGCGGCGGCAGGGGAAAGCTCTGCGCGCTGGTAATCGACGGCGCCAGCGGCGACAGCTGATTCACGTACTCGTGAGCGGAAGGGTCGAAGCTGAGGCGGCCGTTTTGATTGTTGGCAGCAGCGGCGGCGGCGGCAGCTGCTGCGGCGCTAATCTTGGCCATCATCATCTGATTGGCCACCGCCATCATGTGGTACTCCGGATTGTCGACGCAGCCATCGTGCGGCTGGGCGGCCGTCTGCGGGTCGGCGAAGTTGATTGGAAAGCGGCGGTAGTCGGAGCCGGCTTTTGATGCTAAACGAAAGGAAAAAATTGATTAGAATTCTGTGGTGATCATTGGGGGATAATCAAACCCTTCCCTGCTTACCATTTCTCAGGTCCAGGTAGGCCGCCTGGCCGGCCGGCCCCGGCGACGGCATCAGGTAGTCGTCCTCGTCGACGGGCAGCACGTTAAAGGAGCCGCCGCCGCCGTTTGCCGTTCCGCCCATCAGCAGCTTCTTGCCGGTGAGCATGTTGTTGCGAAACAGCTCTTTGAATTCAGCTAATACAAAATTGAAAAATGTGTTAGTTTATCAGCTTTAAAAAAAGTTTCTGCTTGCTTACCCGTATCGGCAATCTTCATCGTCTCGGCGTTGTAGAGCTGCGCCGAGCTGCTCGTGTGGCTGCTATCTCTAAAGTGCTGACTGCCTGCAGTGCTCGAAGAGCCACCGCCGCCGCCATTCATTGTTATCTGATTTCCATACGCATCAAAGTGGTGCATAAACTTGTTGTTGTAGTGACCTTCCGGTCCTAGGCTCAGGTAATAACCGTTTGGCTGCTGCTGCTGCTTCTGCTGATGGTACAGCTGACCTCCATTTCGAGAACTGTCGACGCTGTCATCCATGAAACCGCCTCCAATAGAGCCATTGATGGGCGGCATCTCCTCAAAGCCTCGGTCGTCCATGAACTTCTTGATCGGCGTCGGTGGAGGCTGGTGCTGATGGTGGTGGTTATGATGGTGAGGACCACCAGGACCGCCAGGACCACCTCCAGGACCTCCATGAGATCCGCCAGGACCGCCGTTGGCCTTATCAAAGCCAAGCATCGACTTGCTGCTCGGCTGCAGGTACTCCTCCGCGTCCATGATCGTCTCCGGGCCCTCGATGGGCATGCTCAGCGAGCGAATCAGCTCCTTCTCGTCCTGCTGCGTGTAGGAGGGCAGGCGCATCAGCGAGTCGCCGTTGATCACCAGGTACCGGCCCGGGTCGCGGGCCATCTTCGCAAACTCGTCGGCCAGCTCCTTAAAGGTGGGCCGCGAATCAGAGTCCAGCATCCAGCACTTGATCATGATCATGTAGATCTCGATGGTGCAAATGGGCGGCTGCGGGAGGCGTTCCCCCTTTACCAGCAGGTCGCAGACGTCCTGGGCGCGCACGTTTTCGTAGGGCTTTCCGCCATAAGTGAGGAGTTCCCAAACTGGTGGAAAAAAAAGAGGAAGGTTAAACTCTCAGCATCTTAATCATCTTAGACAAAGTAGACTTACCAGTCACCCCAAAGCTCCAGACGTCGCTCTTGTGCGTGTAAATCCGGTGCTGAATGCACTCCAGCGCCAGCCACTTGATGGGCATCTTTCCGCCCTCCGACTTGTACTCGTCCTCGTCAATCTCCAGCAGCTTCGCCAGGCCAAAGTCGGTGATCTTCACCAGACCTGGCGTGGAGAGGAGGACATTTCGCAGCGCCAAATCTCGGTGCACCATCCGCCGCTCCTCCAGGTAGGCCATGCCTCGGGCAATCTGCGTGCACCAGTTCAGCAGCGGCTTCGAGCCGATCTTGTCGCGGTTATTCCGCACATAGTCCAACAGGCTGCCCAGCGGCATCAGCTGCGTCACCAGCATCAGCTGCGAGGTCATACAAACGGCGACCAACTTCAGCAGATTCGGGTGATCCACGCTGGCCATGATGTACGCCTCCTCGAGAAATTCCTTATTGGTGTTCGGGTGGGTGCCCTCCCGCAGCACCTTGATCGCCACCGGAATCTTGATGTTCTCCCCCTCCGGCACCCAGACGCCCTTGTGGACGAGGCCAAAGGCGCCGAAGCCGAGGATGCCGCCCTTGCGCAGCTCCGCCTCCTTGACGATGCGCAGCTGTGCTAGGTTCGGTTTGACATTTGTGGGCTTCAGCGGCTCATTGTCGTCGAAGCCGGTCATGCGCATCGTCAGCTTCATCGTATTTTCCTTGGTCCTCGCCCGCTGGAGCCACTGGTAGCTGAAGATGGCGAGGAAGATGCCGAAGAGGACGATGCACACGGCGCAGCCCCAGAGAACGGCCGACCAGTGCTCGGGGTCGTTCTGCCCGTCCGCGCCGTGCTGCCCATTGGCGCCGCCGCCGCCGCCGCCGGCGCTGGCGTTCACATTCGGGTCCCGCTCGCTGCAGTACGGGTCCTCGTTGTTGTCCTCAAAGACCTTATACGGCTTCTCCAGCGGACAGGCGCTGGTGCAGTTGAAGAGCTTCTTCTCGCCGTTGTCCTCGTCCAGGTAGACGCGGTAGTTGCGGCAGGCGATGCAGTGGTCCGTTCCAGGGCCCCGACAGCGGCGACACTCGTCGCTGCACTTCACGCAGACGTGCCGCTCCTCGTCGGCAAAGTGATCGCGCGGACAGTGGTCCTCGCACTGCTCGCCGGTGCTGTAGTTCAGACAGGTGCAGACGGAGGCGTGGAAGCCAAAGGCGGTGCAGTTCTTGCAGCGGTGGTGGCACTTCCGGCAGACGGACTTTCCCGTCAGCGACTTCAGCGGGCCCTCCTCCTGCGGCCCCAGGTACTCGTGGTAGAAGCCCTCCGGGCAGTTCTCCTCCGCCTTCAGGCACTGCTCCACCACATTCGGGTCGAGCATCGAGACGATGGCCTTCTCGCAGCTGTTGCAGCCGCCCGCGCCCAGCCGATTCCTCGGTCCGGTACAGCCGAGGACGCAATTTTCGTGGCAGCTGCGACACTCCCCCTCCGCCGGGTACTTCGAGACGGGGCACTCGCGGACGCAGTACGGCCCGTCGCGGACGTTCTTGCAGCGGGTGCAGGCGTTCGAGCCGGGCCCATCGCAGCTGCCGTGGCACTCCTCGTGGCAGTGCTTGCACACCTGGTTGCCGGCGTCGTAGATTCTAAAAGGGTTGGTAAAAAAGATGAAAGATGTTAGTGAAAAAAAGAAGTTAGTAATCTAGCACTAATGTGTGGGCTATAAATAGTAAGCAGCAAGTGTTTGCACTCAAAAGAAACAAAAAATGTTTTTAGCTGCGGTCAAGAAGTTTGGTGAGAGTGTCATCAGTATTCGCACACAGCCTCACGCGACAATCGCTCTCTTGCAGAGATTGCAATCACAGCTAATTGCACCTGAGACTGTGCTGCTAAAACAATAGACGAAGTAGACAGCCTGAAGAAGAAGAAGAAAGAGAGGAAAGGAGAATCCTAATGATGATGATGATAGCACTTGCTCATCACACTGTGCAGTGTTCAGATGCGGACACACACACAAGAAAAAGTAGGACAGCTAATTGAGAGGGGAAAACGAACTCTGCTGCTCAGATGACAAAGTGACAGTAGTGCAACCAGTGCTTCATTCTCACTGAGAAAAAGACTGAACTGAACTGAAATGGAAATAATATAAACGCTCTGGCTTTCTTTCTCTGACTACTACTGCGATTAAGGGGATCTAGGAAGAAGAAGCAAAAAGAGCAGAAGAAAAGCACACTTACCCGATGGAAGAGTTACAGTTGGGAACGCAGGCCTCGCCAAGGCGGTACGACCTGCAGCTGAGGCACTCGTCTGCGCCGGGGCCCCAGCAGCCGTCGGAGCCGCACTCAGGGTGACACACTTGCCCGATGGACTCTGCAGAAAAGAAGGGAGAGAAGACATTATTAGTATTAGTTGAGCAACACAGACCAATTGCTTGAACTTTATCTTTCTTTTTCTACTGCCTCAGCAGCAGCAGCAGCAGCAGCAGCAGTGACAAGGTCAGACAGACACTCTGAATCAGACAGACTCGGTCAGTCACACACAGCAAAAGAAAGAGAGAGAGAAAGAAAGAAAAGAGGCTCTAGTCAGTTTTGCTGTACTTGTTCTCCGGGTCGCCAAATGTCACGTCTTGGAAGAAAGGAAAAGAAAGGAGAAGAGAGAGAGAGAGAGAGAGAGGAGCAAAGGGGACAGTGTAAAAAGAGAGTGCGGGAGCAAACGGTGGAAAGTAAAGCAGAGCTGCACCGACTTGGTCAGAGCCAGGCCGGGCCATGGGAAAACGACTTTTAACCGCCCTCTCTTTCTCTTTCCCTTTGGCGGGAGAGTGAAGCAGGGGGACCCTGCTCTGCTGCACTGAACAGACAAAAAGCAGTGAACCTAGGACCTGGGACCGCTAGCTAGCTCAAGTCAACCGTGGAGCGTGAAAAAGGGGGGGGGAGAAAAAAGATGGCTAAAAGCAGCAGTGTGAAGGGACTGCTGCTGATATCCAATTTCACCTGTTTTGGTGAAATTAGCAGTGTGACACTGCTACTACTACACTGCTACTAAATCTAAAAAACTTTAACTTTAAAAAAACAAAATGAAAAACTTACTGCACGTCTCATTCTTCTTGTTGTTGAGGAGGAGGGTGTTGTGCGACTTGGAGGTCATCAGCTTCGTCCACTGGACGGTCTCCGCGAAGCACAGGTCCCGATTCTCGAGGATGGCCACCGAGCCGGAGCGAATCGTCTTCAGCGAGCGCAGCCCCAGCGACTGCAGACTGGTCTTGACGACGTAGAAGGCGCTGAAGTACTCGGTCAGCTGGCGGCCGCCGATGCTCTCCAGGTTGCGGAAGAAGGAGAGGTTGGTGAAGTCGCTGTGATTGGCCTGGATGTTGATGAAGCCGGTCACCTCGCGGAGGGTGCTGAAGACCTCCAGCTTGGCGGGCGACATCGGCGGGTGGCGCGAGCCGAAGGTGAAGTTGGCGTACACCTCCTGGAAGCCCTTGAAGCTCGTTTCGAGGATGGTCAGCGAGCCCTCGATTATGGTGCAGCCCTGGAAGGAGTCGATGTTGTCGGAGTTGACGATGTCCACGCCCTGGCAGTTCTTCGGACACGGGCCGTCGCAGGGAACGCACTCGCCGTTGACCGCTTTCTTATTGGAGGGACAGGAGCGGACGCAGGCGCCGTTGTCCTTCAGCAGGTGCTCGGGGCAGTTCTTGACGCAGGTGGCGCCGTAGGCGTACTTGCCCTCCGGGTTCACCTCCCAGGAGTAGGTGGCCGGGTTGTAGCGCATCATCGGCGGACACTCCTGCTTGCAGACGCCGTCGTCGTAGAAGTTGCGGCATGCCTAAAAGTGGGAAAAAAGGATGAAGTGTGTTTTGTTATGGCAAGGGAATGGATTTTGATGGGAGTTTTTGGGAGTACAAAGTCGCTAAACTTACCAGACAGTCGCTCTGCTTCGGCCCGGTGCAGCCGCCGGCGCAGAAGAGGTGACAGCACTCCCGTGGATTGGAGCCAAAGCAGCGGCCCTGGTGGCACTGCGGCGAGCACTTGATCTTGCTGAACTTCTGGCAGTTCACAGCGCCCACGCCCCAGCAGCCCTCGGCGCAGGAGTCGTGACAGGTCGGACCTAGATTAAAACGGGGAAAAATGGTCAGTTTGAGCTTCAAGTTTTTGAACACCAAAAAGGCCTCAGTCAGCACTTACAGCTTCGCTCCGGCTGCGTAAAGTTGTAGACGTAGATGGTCTTGGCGCCGACGCCGGTGAGAATCTCGTCCCAGTTCAGCGTCCGAATGTGACAGAGGTTGTAGTTGTTGAAGAAGCCCACGTTGCCCGCCAGAATATCTGATGAGGAGGGATAAATGTCAAAAATGAAACTCCCGAAACTCCCAAAATCACCACTTACCTCTAAGCGCCGGCGCCTCCAGGTTCTCCATCTTACTGAGGGTGACCATCAGCGAGAACTCCTCATCGCGGACGTTCAGCTTGAAGAGCGACCGACCGCGGATGATCTGCAGCGAGGGGAGGACAATCCGGGGGACGTCGACGTGGCTGATCAGCACGTAGCCGGTCACCTCGCGAATGTACTGCAGGAAGCTCAGGTCAAAGGTCTTGTTCTGCAGCCAGGTCAGCTCGAGGTTGCCGTCGACGTAGGTGCAGTTGGTGTAGCGGTCGCGCAGGTTGTTGTAGTGGTGCTCGCGATTCGTCGGCACTGACATGCGTCCGTTGGTGCCGATGCAAACTAAAAAAAATGGAAAGAAGAAGAAAATGGTGAGGGATTAGAGACAAAAGATGACAGATTGACGGGCAGAAGAAGTAAGAGAGGGTTGAGGAGCAGCGCTCACATGATGCCTGCTCGCTGCTCAGATTAAAAAGAAGAAG